ATGACTGGCGCCGTCATCGGAGCTCTGCATGGCACAGAGTGGATTCCCGACGAGTGGCGGGCTACCTGGGAGAGCGATCCGCGGTACGGCGCGCCGGCGGCGGCTCCGCTCGCAGCCGCACTCGCCTCGCTTGCCTGTGCTGACGACCAACCCGCTCTAGTTGTTCCAGACAACGATCCGCATGCTACGAACATCTCGGACGCTCTGGCTACCGAGCTTGCTGCCACCGAGCTTCCGACTCGGTTTGCCTAAGGCCATCAACCCGTCGCAAGCAGTAGTAAAGACCATCAAACGTTTACTAATCGCCGTCCATCACTCGTGATCATCTGTTCTGCCAGTGGTTGCGCGAGCCGATGTAGTGATGCAGATAGCGGCCACCCCTGAACCGCAGCGGCGCCTTGCCCTCCCGCGATGGCGTCCATGATCTGTTCTCTGCCGCCAGCTCGTCAACTGTCCCGGTGGGAGCTGCGGTGCCAGCCGGCTCCATCAGCGCCTGGTACCACGACTCGAGGCGAGTGTACGGCCCGTACTCGCCCTTGACCATCAACGGCACGGGCGCGACCTCGACCTCGCTGGGATCGACTTGAATGCGATCATGAACCACCTCGGCATCATCATCACCACCGTCGGCACCGCCGGCATTCCTTTCTGATCCGGCACCAACCACATTAGGATTGGCCGCCGACCTCACCGCCTTTGCCCGAGCGATCTCTGCGGCCCTCCCAGCTTCCAGTCGCTGAAACGCAACGTCAGCGCGGACCGTCTTCTGAGCCAGCAAAGTCGCCACCAGCTCATCCCCCTCATCCAATCCCAACCCATCTGCCGCACTGGACGTGGCCACCACCACAGGTGCCTCTACCACCACAGGCGCCGTCTTGCCTCCGGGTGCCCGGTACGTGAGCTGTAGTCCACATTGCATCGTAATGAGCAGAGTCAGATCCGGCAAGTCGGGCGAGCCATGTCGGACGAGCCGTGCAAGGCGAAACAAGGCGTTTCCGAGGTGTTGGACGAGTCAAACGTGTTGCGCGGGTCGGACGTGTTGCGCGGGTCGGACGTGTTGCGCGGGTCGGACGTGTTGCGGCGGCGGGTTGGGGAAGCCGAGTCACGTTGCGGCGCAAGGTGTGTGGTGCGGGATGGGGATGAGTCAGGGTGGCTACTGGCAGCAGAGGTGGTCGGGGTCAGGGCAAAGGGAAACAGGGAGTGTGTACGTACGCTGTAGGTCAGTCCCTCCATTCCAAGTGATGTGATGAGTATCAGAGCCGTTGGTACGGTGGTGGACTGGTGGTGGTAGTCGTCGTCGTCGTCGAGTCGGCCAACGGTCGAGTGACCGACCGACCGACCGACCGACCGACCGACCGACCGACCGACCGACCGACCGACCGACCGATAGGCTCATTCGCATCGAGACACAATGGCTCCACTTGTGAGGGATTCGATAGCCGGAATTCGCACAGAGGGGGGGTGCAGTGGCACGGGTGGGTACGTGTAGGGAGGATGGCTTTAGTAGGCTCGCTATCTACGTGGGTTGAGATCTCATCGCCGGAGGGAGACGGACCGGCGGATGGCAGACGCGTCGCCGGATGCGCCGGCCTGCTGCTGCTGGAACTCGCCGTTGAGGATCCGGGTTCGGAGATCGGCAGACAGGCAGTGGCGTGCGAGAAAGGCGTCGAGCTGCGACCGCGGCGCCAATGCGGCCTCACTGCCGATCTTGGCGTCGTAGTATCGTGAGAGCTCGATGAAGAGCGACGGCGTCGCTCCATATGTCTGCCGGTAGTCGTCAAAGTACCGGCTGTTGCTGTTCTGGATGGCGTGCCGGAAGATCGGCTCAAGCCATCCGGCCTGCTGTCCGACATCGTACGCCTGCGCCACAAGGTACGCCTCGCGGAAGGCCGGCTGATCCGCCATGGCAACGCGCGCTTGCTCGGGGGTGAGCCCAACCAGCGCCTCGCCTGGCTTCTCCAGCTGGAGGCCGACCAGCGCTGCCATGTGCATGCACCGCCGCGCCGCATGGAGGCAGTCTTCGAGCTGGAAGCTCTTCGACGCCTCAAGGTAGAGGCGGAAGACTCCAACGCATGCGTCGTGCCGTCCCGGGCCGGGCTTCTCGCTGCCAACGACTGCAAGCGCCTCGTCGGCCTTGGCCATCAACGTCTCGGCCCGCTCGCGGACCATTCCGAACCGTGCGTACAGCTTGGTGAGCTTGGAAAGGTCATTCGGCGCGCGCACCTGCAGATACTGTCGCAGGAAAAACTGCAGTCGCCAGTCAGGCTCCTCCTCGGATGAGCCCGGGGCAAAGATGAGGTCGAATGCATCCGCCGCCATCAGCGCGTCCAGAATGTACATCGTCTCGCGATACCTCTTGAGCGAGCGGAAGAGAAAGGCGCAGAGCCCGTAAGCCCCAGCGCGGAGATACGACTCGCTCTTGGCGCGCACAAGCTCCAGAAGAGCGTCGACAACGTCCACCGCACCGGCTAGGTCGTAGCAAAAGTGGGCTCGCGCCATAATCTCCACCTCGCACGCTCCCGGCAGTTTGCGCTGCTGCGAAATGGCGTCCATGAGGCAGTCACCCAGTCGGGTGAGATCCTTACACAGCGCCGCAAACGCGCCAAACTGCCCGGTGGACCACATCGGAAAGGCCTCGGGGAGTAGCCGACCGCCGGCACCAGCGCCACCGTCGCCGCTAACCCGCGAGTGGTGTGTTTCCAGCGCAAGTGTAAAGACCTTCGCCAGCAGCGCCCCAATCTTGCCAGTGTCGAGCTCGTGAAGGCTGATGAACCGCCCGGCGAGTGCAAAGTTGTCGCGACCCTGATGGAGGAGCACAAAGACAACTTGATACGGATCCTTGGCCAGCACGTCGTCGTACGACAGCTGAAGAACCGACGCCACCCGGTAGTTGGTGATGATGTGCTCAAACGCGTCCTTGGCCTCGCGCGTCGCCTCTTGCAGCCGCCGCAGCTTGTCCAGCATCGACGTTGGCGAGCCGATGAGCGCAAGAACAGCGTCCGGCAGCTCCGCCGCCACGCTGGCGTCGCGCACAAGTGCCACAGCTGCACTAACGTTCTCCAGCGCCTTGCACTCGACGTGGAGCTTGCCTGCAATCGACATCGCCTCGGTCACCTTGCCCGAGTTGAGGAGGTGGACGACAAGCTCGCGGACGTCGACATCGCTCGAGCTCCCGTTGTACGACTCTGGCAGGTACGTCAGCGTCCACACCTCGGTCTGCAGCGAGTCAAGGAACGCTACAGGCTTACCGCCTTCGCTTCCGGCGCCGGCGGTAAACCACTCGAGCGCCAGCGAATACAGCACTAGGAGTTCGTCCGGCCCAGGCTGTGGCTCGATCGAGTCAGCCAGCGAGTAGAAGAACTCACCAGCATGCGATGGCGAGGTTTCGTGCTTGACAAACACCTCATTACACTGCCGCCATAGCCCCTCGCGCTCAGAGCCGGACTCGGAGACATACATCCACCCATTGGCCGACGCTGCAGCCACAAGCATGCCCACCTCGGAGAGCGTGATGGCGTCGTGCGGTCGCCCACTGAGCGCGGCAACCCCGCGCGCCGCGTCAAACGCGCCGCGCTCCATCAGCATGCCGATAATGACCTCGGGTGCCGCGTCCGGCTCGACCGCCTCGCCCAGCCCGGCACCGGCGAGACTCGCGTGGATCTTCCACAGCACGCCCAGCCCAACCTCACCCTCGGGTGCGCCTTGGTCCACCACTCGCCACGCCCCGGAGCCGGCCACGAGCTCCAGTAGGACTTGCTTCTCGTACCGGGTCGGTGCCACTGCAAGCACCCTGCGGAGACTCTTCCATCCTGCCTTGCGGTACCACTCCAGGGAAAGTTCCAGCTCGTCGCCACCCTCGCTCACGTCTTCCACAGCAGCAAGGAATGCCTCCAGCGCCCGGCGCGCCTTGCCATACATGTACGCCTGGAACGAGGCCACACACGCCACCAGCGCCTCGATACCCGATCCGGGGGCAAAAACCCGGATGGCGTCGAGCAGCGCGTGGGTGCTTGCCGCATCCTCGCAAATCATCACTACCTGCAAAAGCCGCTCGCTTAGCTCGCCATCGCCCGCATGTCCGCCACCCAGCTTGGCGTGCGCCTCGCAATACGCCACCAGGCCGGTCAGCCGGCTCGCGCCCACCAGCTCGACCGCCAGCACAGCAAGGCTGGGAATCTGGAGCTCGACAGCCACCTGACAGAGCTCGTCGCCGGTCACCAGCTCGGCACCATGATCAGAAGCAAGGAGCCCAGCTGAGAAGAGCATGGCGGCAGCCTGCTTCTCACGATCGCCGTCGGCGGCAAGCCACGCCCGCTGCACCTCGTCGAGCACCCGCTGGCTTGTGTCGTACTCTGCCAGCCGCGCCACGTGGTCGCCCAGCTGCGGCTCGGGCACCAATTTCGCCAGTCGACTCGCCACCGCCCCGAGCGGAAGCGTAAGCTCCGCTGCTTCCGCCACCATTCGGTGGACCTCGGATGCCGAGCCGTACGCCGTGAGCGTCCGCATCTCCAGCGGCCAGGTGTACAGCCTTGTTGCCAGAGCCACCATCCGCCATGCCTGCGCCGCCTCGGGGCTCGCCCGCGGGTCGTCGCCAAACTCGGCCGCCACGCCCGCTGCTAGCTCTGCAGCAGCCTCGCTCTCGCCCTCGAGAACCAGTGACCAGTTTCGCGCGTCCACGTCGCCGTATCCGCGAGGCATCGCATCCGGTAAGCCAATGTACCGGCTGGCTACAGCGTCAATCCGAAGCCCTAGGCTCTGCAAGCCAACCATGTGCGCAAAGACCATTGCGGAGCGAGACACACGCTCGCTGCGATCCGGCGCTGTCACCAACCTCCGCAACAGGACCAGCAGCTCGGCATTCTCCATTTGCTCGTGGTTGTCACACTGGGTATGCGCGGTGTATGCCGCGCCAGGCTGGCCAGCCTCGAGATAGTAGACCACGTCGAGATCGACCGCAACAGGTGGGACGTCCAACCGCGGCGGCGGGTGCGCCAGCGACGGCAGCGGCCGCAGCGGCCCGCTTCCCCAAACCGTAGCGAGCTGGACATCGACGGCAGTCGCGAGCGTCGCCATCAGCGACATGTCTCCGGCAGATGAGAGAACGTCAAAGAGCAGCGTGTCAGACAGAGGTGCCCGGACCGGTGCGCCTCGTGGGTGAGCAGGGTCGAGAAGTGCAAACAGGGTTGGATAGCCCGGCCGCGGCGGGGGATCCCACTCAAACCTTGCAAACACGCCCGAGACATTGTCTGGATCCTCGAGCTGAGCCAGCGCGAGCGCGACCAGTAGCCGCGACTCGACACCCATGCCGTCGGCTGCGGCGGTCGAGAGCAGCGCCGCCGAGGCACGGCCGGCAGACGCCAGCGCCGCCGCGCTCAGGTCGCGGCCCGCAACACGAAAGGCGACCACCGATGCAAGCTTGGTCGCCAGCTCGGGAGCCTGGTTCGCGGTGAGGACCTCGTTGGGCACGTTGTGAGCCTCTGCAAACGCGTACAGCAGTCGCAGTGTCGGGGCCTCGCCAAGGACTCGCATCAGCTCGACAGCCAGCTGATGCGGATCGTGGCCGGCACTCGCCAGTGGTGCCGAGGCGAACAGCTGCCCCGCCACAGCCGGCCAAAACAGCGACGGAAAGTCGCTGGCTCCGACCGAGGCCGGCATGACAAGATGTGAGGAGGCGACTCTCGCCACCACCGCCTCCAGAGGCGTGTCCAGCGCGAGCACCCGCTTGGCCGTGACCCAGGCCTCAGCGTGCTCGCTAGCAAGGACTCGCGCCGCGACTCGGTCGTCGACGCTGGCCACCGGAGCAACCAGGCAGTTCTGTGCAAGGACGACGGCGACCGCGCGCCCAAGCTCATCGGCCAGGTCAGGGAACCGCGCCCGTAGCTCCTCCAGTGCAGCTGAGAGCTTGGCCGTGCCCTCGCCGGCGCAAAGGATTGCATCGACTAGGACTCGAGCCAGGACCTGCGGCGACCAGCGCTCGACGGAGCTCAGCGGTGCCGCAAAGTAGCGGCCAGCAACCGAGGTGGGTGCGCCGGGCTCGCCTGGCTTGGCAGTGCCAGGTGATGGCAGCGGCGTGAGGCCCCAGTGGTCGAGGACAAGAGCTCCTGCGCAAGCGGGCTCCGCTGCCGGTGGAACCGAGGCCAGGCCCTGCTCCAGCTCAGAGGCAAGGCGCTCGACAACCTCGTCTCCGCGGGCAAGGACAGATTCGGTCTGCAGCGGACGGCCCGACCAGTCCCCAACCGGATAAACCGACTCGAGGAAGCGGAGAGCGTCGAGGCGGCTCCGTGGTGTGCTCTCACCGACAGCACGGAGGAGCCGATTTCGAAGCGGACGGTTGAGCGTAGTCTCGGCGAGCGCAGTTAGGTACGGCTCCGGGGCGAGGCCGAGTGAGGAGAGCATGGCGATGCCCGGACCGAGCTCGTTTGACTCGGGATCGGCCGGGACGTAGGTCTCAATGGTGGCGAGAGCGAGCGGGACTCCGATGGTCTTGATGTCGGCGAGCGAGTACTGACCGCCCGAGGGTGTCGTGAGGCCGCGTGCGCGGAAATAGGCGAGGGCGGTTGAGACCCGCGAGTGGATGAGCGCATCGCGGAGAATGGCTGGGGCGGAGAGCGAGGCCCAGTTAGTGTAGACCGAGGGTCGGAGGGCGGCAGAGTCGTCGCCGTCGGTGGAGTCAGGGGCGGCTGCGCCCTCGGCCACAAACTTGGCGGCAAGCTTGGACGACGAGAGCATAAAGGTACGGACGCTAACGAGCGCATCCGAGTACCCCGAGGTGTCCGAGCCTGCAGCAGCGGCGGCGGAAATGGCGGTGGAGAGGAACGACATGGTGAGCTTAGCGAGCATGCGCGCAAAGTCACGGAGGTTGTAGTCGCGGGCAGTGGCGGCAGCCGAGGCCTCGTCGAAAAAGGCGAGAAGGACGGCGATGGCCTCGAGCGCCTGTGAAGCGTCGAGCTCGCGGAGCGCCTGGCGGACGACGTCGACCTGGCGGTAGAGGATACCAAGCTTGAGCGCGTGCATGCGGAGCTGACGACGGCCCCAGCCGTTGAGCGCGCACAGGGCGTGGGCGGTCTCGGTATCTTCAAAGATGATGGTGGCATTGATAAGCGCCTGTCTCGAAGCAACATGAGGCGAGGCGACAACAATGGCGTCACCAAGGAGAAAGTGTGCCGGGAGGCCGCCGAGCGCCGACGGCGACGACGCGAGGAGCGGTACCATAGGAAAGCCAAACGCGTGCCAACGCGATGAGTTCGTCCAGGCCTGAAAGACCGAGGTGGTTGTGGCGACGGTGACGGCGACGCCGTCGGTACACACTGCCGACACGTTGAGGATGGCAGGCGGATGCGCAGCGCACGGGGCGAGGACTGAAGCGGCGGGCACGTCGGCAAAGCCGGACTTCCATTCGGGGTAGTCGCCAGCAAAGCCTGTCTGTGCCGGAGCGTGCCGTGGCCGGTGCCACTGACTGAGGACGCCAAGTGCTTGCGGGAGGCGCGCGGTGGTCTGGGGTGAGGCGAGGAGCTCAACCCAGTTGATGGGCGTCTCGTGCCAGGCTGTTTGGTCGAGTCCGGGTGCAGCCATGGCGCGGGTCCAAACACTCTCTGCGTACGTCTGCAGCGCCCAGCTCGACCAGTGGCTTGCCAGCCGCTGGGTGTGAGAGTTGGCCGGGTGGACACAAAGTGGCGGTCGCGACGGCAGTTCGATGCTGCCAGTGCCGCCGCCGGCGATAGATCCCGAGTCGGGCGCTAGCTGCGGGTGGACAGTGGCGAGCGGGACGCCGTCAAGCATGGCAGCGAGCAGCGGTGCACCGAGCGGCGCAACCCAGACCCGGCTAGCCGAATCGACCACAGTCACTAGGTGCAGATCAAGCGAGAGCGTGGCAGCAACCGGGCGGGCGGCGCGAGCGGCAGCCAGTGCCTCGGCCGGCACCTCGGCGTCCCAGGGGCAGCCGCTGGTGACGGCTGCGCGGACAACCGAGACATAGGCGATAAGGCGCGGAGTGGCACCTGGTGCGACAGCGTCGAAAATCGCAACATGGCAGCCTGCCATGGTGTCTGGCGCGACAACGGCGAGTGCGTGGGCAGTGTCGGGAACCATGACGAGGGAGCAAAAGTCTAGCGCTGCGGGCGAGCGAGCCTCGTCACCGACGCCCAAACGCAGCGGGCCGTCAGCAGCCACGCCGTGCTCGAGCGCGGTACCCGCGGAAGCGAGTGCAATGAGACGAAGCCGTCCCTCGCCGTCGACATACACCGCTTCGTGTGGGTCTCGGCCAGCGGCGAGAGTAGCCAGGCCCGCATGCGGAAGCGCGAGCCAGCTCGGAACGCCATACGCCAAGTCTGTTCCAATCTGCACGGTCGCAGCAGAAGCGATGTCCACCACCTGCGACTTCTCCCAGCCGTCGTCAGGCAAGGCCAGAGCAAGGACTCTGGCAGGGGAGCACGACGAACCAGATGCCAAGCCAGCACTCATCTGACCAGAGTTGTTCGATTGACAACCATGTGCCGAACCGGACGACAACGACGACGGTGACGATGACGATGACAACGATGATGATCTTGAGGAAGAGTCGAAGGCGAGGAGGAGGACAGGACCACTGCCTGAAGCAAGCCAGACAAGAGCCAACGGCAGCTGAGGAGACATCAGTTTGAGGGTAGGTAGAGATGAGAGAGACGAGCTCGAGTTCAAACTAGTGTGTTGTTCCGGCGACATGTCATGGTTGACAGGCGGGAGTGAGACGACCGAGATGGTTGGGGTGCCAGCAGCCGAGGTAGCAGACGAGGTGGTGGTGGACGAGGACATGGAGAGGCATTCGACAGCAAGATATGCTCCACAATGGGATGCATGAGCTCGACGACTCCCGGGCTCGGCACGCCAGTCGAGCTGCCGTACGCAAACGGGGGCGTCCATACTGACGTAGGGTGGGTGGGGGTGGGGGGTT